CTCAAGCGACCGAAAACAATGAAATCAACTCGCGACTTGGAGCGAGTTTTTGTTCAGGTTCGAGGGTCCAGGCAGGGACATTCCCACCCTACCCAACGTGAAGCAAACTTTGCGTCTAAACTCTTGAGTTACCCGCGTTGGGCTGGGTTGATTTTCATTGGATTCCATTGAACCACGAAAAAAAAGAAAAGAAAGGCCAAAAACATAAAGATACTGTGGATGGTTGCGAAGTCCTGCAACACGTTCAAACCCTGGGAAACCATTGCTTACAGGGGCATCATATGATGCATCATACGCAGGGTTTCTTCGGTGGTTTCTGGATTTCGTCCATCAGTCTGAGTCTGCATCGCCCGCCTCCAATTTGTTGTCCGGTTCCGGTTTCCGCTCGCCGGCCCCGGGCCCCGAAGACCAGAAACGCCTGCTGACCTGAGTCGAAGGCGCCTAACGCGCAGCCTAGTGGTTTGGAGGTCTCCCATCGTCCCACAGGAACCACAAGACCCCTTCAAATGGGTGTGGCAATCAAAATTAAACGATCGGGGCAAACCGCAGGTTTTGGTCCATGTTTCCACTTACCAGGGCAACCCATTTTGGTACCGTTTTTTGAGCCACGGCCAAATCCCCCAAATCCACGCCACGAAACTTGGTGACTTGGTGTTTGTTCTGCGCTCACTGGAGCGAATAACGTTGACACCGACTAGCAACCAATACCACCTCATCAATAGCCACCCCAATTAATTGACACTACCCCTCGGAAAAAAACAAATCGACCACCCCCAAAAAATAGCATGGTGCGGCCGACACTAAAATAGAACTAAGCACTGAAGCTTACAGGTTCCAAAGCACTTCCCGCAACTGGGGGTTTCTCAAGCTGCATGGTACCACAGCAGCGTACGTGGCAAACAGGAAGCTCCAGCAATGAGCCAACCCTATGGAACCTCAAATGAAAGCTTCAACAGGAAGCTCCAATACAGTCAAACCCAACAGATACCCAATCAAATGCAAACCGAGGGGGGGGGGGGTTATTAATCCGAGGATTTAATTTCACATCTGAACCCAGAGTCACAGCTATGTCAATTGCATCCCTTAAACACATTCTATACCATCCCACCAATTAAGATGGAACCTGACACAGGGTCCCTTTAGACTGAAAACGGTCCAAACCAGGACCCCCGAATGTCAGGTTTCATGGTGCTTGGTGGAAGCGTAAACTATGTCCACAAATCACCCAACTGAGTTGCTCAGTGACCCTGGAGAAAAAAAGGGAACCCCTTTTGGGGAAAATCATTTTTAGTGGGGCAGCCACCAAAAGAAAGGGAAAAAGGGTGCCACTGAACAACTGAGTTGTGGGCTCCCCAAGTCGCCGCCAAACACCTGCTCAACCCAACGGGGCTCCTAAATGAGTGTCAGAATAAGGTCCCCCCTAAGATGGTAAACGAACCTAAGAAAGGGTGCCCTCCCCCCAAAAAAACACATGCATGAATAATTCATGTTTGGTTCATCCATTTTGTCCTCTGACTAAAGCATGGTGCCCGTGTTTCTTGCCTGATTTGAAGCCGCGACCAGCCGGTTAAACGGGGTCTTTGCGCTGTGAGCCCCTGCGGAACCGGCACTGCTGCGCCGCGTCACTCCTTAGAGGCCCCGCCCAGGAAACCCTGGAATGATTCGATTCCCCAACGTAAATACCAACAAACAATGGGGGAAACCCATGGTTTCGAAGTGGTGCAGGAGTTCGTTCATCCACAGTAGGTCCTCCTGCAGAGAGGTTACAGTAAGGGTACCGTCTTTTTTCTGTAGTCTATTTTAGGAGCAACCCTCCCAACAAAAAAGAAGGTAAAAGGGCACTACTGGGGAACCTAGTTGAATATTTGATTCACCTCGCGGACTTCAGGGACAATGACCCAAGCATCCTGCAAGTCCTTTCAGTATACATTTGGCCAAAGGCAACTCCACCAGTCTTTGTCCACATGGCTCTGAATCAGCCATGTCCAATGAGGCGAAGTCTCGTGGGCTACGAATCCAACGGGGTAAATATGCGATCCCAAATGACCAGTGTTTTTGCGTTCTCCCCTTCTCGCCGAAGCTAAACGGTCATAAGGTCCAGGAGTTCTGTATAAAAGGAAGGGTATATATGTTGGTCACAAGCAGTGGCTGTGGGCAAATCGCTGCTGTTACGACGCAGGATGAACGAACCTAAGCAAAAAGCCAAAAAGTGCCACAGAACCGGGACGCATGTCGTCGCCATGTACGTCAGCGCTCTCGTCAAGCTCGGTGGGGATGACTGCATACTCCACCTGACCACGTGTCAGTCATTCGTCACTGCATGCATTCCAGTTTGTAAACAGACTTACCAGTTAAACCATCGGTGACCTTTTGGAAAAATCGATGGCCCTGGCAAATGGAATAATGTTCATCTAAACCAAGGCCCTCTATTGTTTTGAGCAAACCAACCAAAAATGACACCTATGATTCAAACATGCACCACTGCTTTCGACAAAGCACTGATTTTGCGTGCTACGCGAAATCAACAGAAAGAGTTACATAGGTCTTCCTCAACAAAATCTCAAAAACCACGACTCCCCTGTTAATGCCAACAAACCTTGTGGTTGCAACCATTGGTTTCCTTCCAAGCGGTGCAGGAGAACGAGTTTCGCAACCACCACAGTAGGTCGAGTCAATTGAACTCGAGCTGCACCGGTGCGGCGCATGCGGCAACGGCACCGGGAGCAGCACTTACCCGGGGCTTCAAACCACCATTAAAACAAGGAGGGCTAAAGCGGCTAATAGAAACACCACTGTTTGCCTAAGAATTTTCAGCATTCAAATTGGGCCCTTGCCATTCTTTCAAAAGAAAAGGGGGGTTGAACCGAAAAAACCTTCTATGATTGAGGGCGCTCCGCGACTAGATCTACTCCATCGCACGTGCATGATGCATCGGAAGGATGTTGCCATGGCTTTCTTTCTGCAGCTCGTCGACGGGCAGATGTGATAGCACGCCCATTTGGAAAATCGAGGACCGAGGAAATCAATCCGGTCGACCCCAGACCCAAAGCAGATATTTTGCCCCCCTGCTTTGCTATTACTGGGCTGCCCGTTTTCTGATCCCCCGCTAAAAGTGACCAACTTTTAGTGGGTTAGATGGAAAATCCCTCACTAAACACTAAAAGGCCGAAAAGCCCAGGAACCGGATGGCCTTCGGGAGCCACCAAGTATTAGGGGGGTCCGCGTGGGGAAGGGATTGAGGGGCTTGTAAGCCTCAGAACTCTTGAGAACGAGACCTCCACATGCTTTGGGGCACAGGGGCCTGAGGCTCCCAACGCTCTGAAGACGCGACTGCGAGGTGGTTGCACACCGATGCTTTGCAACAAGCTGGCTGGTTTGAACAGGTGAAACTCGGTGGACTTCTGATTGACTAGTCGAAGTGCAGGAAATCTTCCGCTGGAACCGAACTGCCACCTTTGCCAAGTCTTGCGCTCCAGAGAGCATATGAAACCAAGCGAGCTGCTAGTCTCTTGCTCCAGCAATCGCAGAGCACGGCGTTTGGCCGGTCTGGTGGCGTTCTGCAGGGCTTCAGCCAATGCCTTCGCACACCTCGAGGCATGTGGATGGACGCAATCCTGGCCACCATGGGGTTGCGGTCATCAGGCAATGCCTTGCCCCGCTGGCGCCGATCCTCTCTCAGGTTGGTCTCAGTCATGATGCAGTTTGCGGGGCTTGGGCTTTGGCTAGGCCCTCGAAACCGGGCTTGGGCTTGACTTCCGCAAGCGCATCGTCTTGAGTGCGGAGTGTCTTGCTTGTGCGGCTTGTCCAGCTGGTCCATTTACCTTGGTTGACACTGGAAGGGGAGCAACAATTTGATGTTTAGCAGTTAAGTGGGGATTTCCCAATACACCACAATAAGCAAACATGTAAAATGTTTCCCAATAACAACCATGTAACTATCCTGCAGCACATCCTGGTGACAGAAGTCGTTCGCAGCGCCTCCAGGGCCTCTAAGCGCCCTCACCGATTTGCACAAAACAAACTTCACCCGCCAAGGCTTCAGCAATCGCCTTGGCACCTGTGCCTATTTCCTATGCCCAGCCAAGTCGATCTAGGTCACAATAAAGGCCCGGTGGAGTTCTGATTGAAAGCTCAGCGCATCTCAGAGTCTCAGCGCGAATGTGGGCGCAGGCCTTGCCCAGAACAACTCGGTCGCCAGTGGCTGGCGACTGTGCTGTTCTGGGCAAGCGCGTCGCCCAGCGCCTGCGCCGCATCGGTTTGGTCTTGGCAGTCCACTTTCGTGATGTCCACCTTCGAAATCTTGCTGTTTAGCAGCTCCAGCGCTTTGGCCGCCTCGCCTTCGACAACTCACATCCTCCCACCCAGAGCTTCCGCAGCGGGCCCTATCTTTGCGTGACGAGCGGCCGCCACGCCTCGGTGTCTGGGCCCAGGTCACATCCTCTTCGAGGCCGGTTTGCACCAGCATCTCGGCCCATGCGGAGCCGGATGAATACAACTGAACACTCACTTCGCCTTGATCCGAACGTGCCCATTGGTCTTGCAATATGAATCAGCAGCTGGGATACCAATTGCAACAATCCACCACAAGCGCGAGCGAATCAAACAAACAATCGATCAAACAACAGTTGTGGAGTCTTTCTAATTCATCAAGCGCCTTCCACCTCCACGGCTTCAAACCTTTCAAAGTAGGACTTTGTCATGACATTGTCATTCGGGAAACAGCCAAGCCCCTTGCACATATATAAAGCAAAAAAACTGAAAAGCTCCCCCCGCCTTCTTGTCTCGCATCACCGCTTGCAGCTGGTCTGTGCACAGCCTCGCCGATATTTTGCCGGCCCAGAGTTTGAAGCAATTGACCCGTGTCGGGACCCGTCCAAATCCATCCAGTCTCGGTTGCTTTCCGCTCCCCAGCTGAAAGCTTGACTTTAGTGGCTTGATGGAAAACCCATTCGTTGGCAAAAAGTGCAAAATACAACAAAGCATTCTCAAAGGTCCTCAAAGGGTAGGGCGCTTTCGGTGGATGTTTCACCCAAATTCAAGCGACCTGAAGAACGAACATGGAGCTGATTCCTGCTGCCAAAAGAACTGTCAAATCAAATTCCTGGCTTCAAAATGGGAAGGCAGCGGGGGGCGATCCTTTAGCCTACGACCAGCAGCGGGACATCCATACAAGGGAAACCACCGCCATCTGTCACAAGACCAGCCCCACCACATGGCTTCGGATGTCAAAGTGGGAATCCATTTCTGCAAATGGCTGATCACTGGTTTAAGGACAACAGGAGCAACATCTTTCGAAGAGTTCTTCCTGAAACTACCCAGATTCAGGTGTTGCAGAAATATATGAGGGACATGGGTGCCAAAAAACACCAGGCCATGGCGCAAGATCCCGGTTTTTGTTCACGGCAGTTTGCGCAGTCCGGGCCTTCTTTTCACCCGAGGTCCGATGGGACGATCCGGCACTTTCTCACCCAGCCCAGAAAGGAAGCCACCCTGGGTCATTAGGGGGAGACACCCCTCCAAAAAGAGTTGGATGCGTTTTTTTAGTTCGACTTCTGAAGCCAGCCTGGTTGAAACAAAAAGATCGCCCCAACAACCGGGGGGGGGAGTTGCACCCAGACACGGGCGACTTTGGGTTCGAACTTCCCCCAGTCCCAAAAAAAACCACCTCCCCCCGTTCCCCAACCAAAAAACACCCCCCGGCTTCGAACCCCCCATCGCATCGACTCGGAAAAAAAAAAACTACTTCGCTTCGAGCAATCCCCACCCTCCACACTCACGAGCTTACGACCATGAACACGGTTGTGTGAATTCAAGCATGGTTTTCGAGCGGCCTGGGGCCTATGACTGCTCAACAAGCTTTGCGTTGAGAGCCTTATCCACCTGTCTGTGTGTCAAACTCCACTTGTCTGCGAGCCGATCGCGAGAACTCAAACATCGGCTCCGTTAACAAAAGCCAAGCCCCTTCCAAAAAGAAACCCGACGGGGGATTACGAAGTTGCTTATTCACAGCCCAAAGCAACACAAAAGCATCACCCTTTCCGAGCCCAGGGCACATTCAAAACACGAAGGCACCAACATGAAATGTAAACCCAACTGCGCGCCGGGCGGGACGTTAAGCAAAACCAGACTGGCGGGCTGCTCTGGCGTGATGGCGGGATCTGGCGAATACTGGCCGGATACTCGGCAGGATCCACCGGCAAGGGATACTGCGGGCTTCTCGGCGGGATCCACCGGCGGGCTGCTCTGGTGAGATACTTGGCGGGATCCACTGGCGAGCTACTCTGGCGGGTTGGCTGGGATACTCAGCGGGACACTCGGCGGGATCCACTGGCGGGCTACTCTGGCGGGATACTCGGCGGAGTCCACTGGCGAGCTACTCTGGCGGGATACTCGGCGGGATCCACTGGCGAGCTACTCTGGGATACTCAGCGAAAGACTCGGCGGGCCACCGGGGCTCTGGTGAGATACTTGGCGGGATCCACTGGCGAGCCGCTCTGGCGGGATACTCGGCGGGATCCACTGGAGAGCCGCATACTGGGCGGGATCGACCAGCTGCTCTGGCGGGATACTCGGCGGGATCCACTGGCGAGCCGCTCGGGCGGGATACTCAGCGGGATCCACTGGCGAGCCGCTCTGGCGGATCCACTGGCGAGCCGCTCTGGCGGGATACTGGGCGGGATCCACTGGCGAGCAGCTCTGGCGGGATACTCGGCGGGATCCACTGGCGAGCTGCTCTGGCGGGATACTCAGCGGGATCCACCGGCGAGCTGCTCTGGCGGGATACTGGGTGGGGGCGTGGTGTAGAAGCATGGCAAACGCGGATTCCAACATAAAATCTAACAACCCCTTCCTGTCGGGTGGGGAAAAAAAAAAACTCCACCGCCGAACCACCCACCGAACCACCGCGGACGCGAAGCTTCCGCCGCCTTTCCACCGGCTCGGTGAACTCGGCCGGGCCAAAGACGCGGCACACGATCTCGTCCTATCGCCGAGCGGCGCGAGCGAGCGAGCGCTTGGCGCGAGGCGCGGGCGCGGGCCCCGTGTCCGAGACGGTTGGAAAAGAAAAGCGCCCCCAAAAAAAATCCGGAGAGGCATGAAAAAGGACCGAGCGGAAAAATTGCAACTGGTAAATGCCGGTTTCGCCTTATTTTGGGGTTCAAAAAGCTAACATGATTGAAATGGTGGCAAAATGTATCTTTTAAGGAGCCCTGCTGCCCAAATGCGCGCAAGCGGCTTTCAGGGGTCTCTGCAGAAACCCCTGCAGATACCCGTGCTTGTGGCAGGGGAACACCAAAAAATATATTATGGTTTTACACGTTGTTTCCTTGGGCTTTCTTTGTTGTTTCCAACACCCTAACAGCCAGTGTTTGGGCTATGGCAAACCCATGGAATCTGGGTGTTTGGAAACACCGGTGAAAACACTGGGCCTTCAGAAAGACGCCCACCCGTGGCTCTGACTAGGGGATCCCCACAAGGAACCTTCGCCAGCTAGTGTGCTCCCAATCTGCCCAGTGTCAGGGATTACCCTCTCCTTGTCAGGGCGAGCCCACTCGGAACACAGCTGCAAGGCATACTGCGAGTGGTAGCTCCCATCGACAGCCTCGGGTGTTCTCTTGCGAGCACGGGGAACGAGCAAGGGCTTGCTTCGAACTAGCTGCGCTGGATTTTGCTCAGACAGTAGCCGGAACATACCAAACACCCACGCGCACGCGCACGCACCCACACACCCGCACACCCCCACACCCCCACACCCACACACCCACACCCACACCCACACCCACCCACACACACGGCACATACCAAATACCCTCCCACCGCCACACACACACACACGGTCAAAACCACTGGTGCCAAGACAGTCGCACACCTAGGGCCAGTCACGTCGAACAAAGTACTTAGCAGGCTTGCCCTTTGCCGGGACTGCCGCACACGACAGTCAATCAGAGTACACTATATCCTGCTCTCACATTACCCCACACGCAAAATATAAGACCCGATGAGACTATAGCTCTTACCTGAGAACTGTTTGAGTGGCTGGCCGCTGGTTGATCAATTGGAAGGTTCTCCACCTGAGCATCCTGCCCACTAATCCTTACGCGAGCGAACCAATCGCAGGATCACGGAGGTTCTCACACTACACAATGAAGACATAGCAGTTGCAAGCGCATCTACGCACAAATACTGAAATTACATCGGTGTCAAACATGTCAACATATGTGGCGGTTGCCGGATTCGGGGGCGAGGTTCTCTGACCCGGTTCTTACCCGCAGGCCCAACATGGGTTTGGCTCACCATCAGACTCAGCAAAGGGGTTGGCCGTGTTTCAGCAACGCGCGGGCCTGAATAAGTCTTATTCAATGCTGCATGCTTGCAGCCCACTTTATGGCCGCAGAATGCAGCTCGTCACAAATTCAATCGCCTCGGCTGTTGGAAAAACAACTGCGTTGGCGCCAAACTCGGTGTGCCAGTCAAAGCCTCATGATCCTCTTGCTGGTGCTCAGTAGGGAATGAAGGAATGAACCTGCAAATTCTCGTAAAGCACGCCACAAACGATGGTTTAGAGGGTTCACTCCATTTCTCATTCCCTGCTGGATCAATCATGGAAGCTCACGATTGAAGGGGTCTGGAAGACTACTTGGGGAAGCCCCCGAGGGCACGCCCCATTAACAGGTAAATTATGGAACAACAGTACCATTCTTGGAACGAGGGCACCAACGATGTGAATGTACAAAGTTATTTCACACCGGTCGGCTTCTTAGTTAGTGAACCCCGAGTTGAATGCTGGTTGACAAAACCTACTAACTATTCTCCACATCTTGGGGTTGGTAAGCCAAAACTCCGTACCCCCAGTGGACATCCCAATCCCCACTAAAATAGGTTCTAAAATGGGTGGTGCATTTACCCCAAAACGGGAGACCATTAGTAGGATCACTTAGCCAGGCTACCCTTTACTCGGCTGCTAAAAGTTTAACTTTTAGTGGCTTAATAGAAAACCCATTAACTGGCAACAAGTTGTTCAGTCCTAACATCCAAGTAAAATGCACCAAAGTATGTATGATGCCTCTTCCACGAACCCCGGCCAAAGTGGGCCAATGAGCCATCAAATATGCCCGGAGCACATGGATTGTGATGGGTTGTCTCTCCCTGCAAAGAAACCGGCCTTCAAGACCATGCCTTTACGTTCTGGGCAAAATGCACCAAAGTTACAGGGGTCAGCGGATTCCCCCAAAAACAGTTGATGAGTTGACTGCTGGATTCCAACCAATTCACCGAAAAAAAGGGGGGGGGGGAGGGATGTTCCACTCGTTTGGAGACCATTCCAACAAATTCCGAAAAAGGGGAGGGATGTTCCACGGTTTTCGTAAGACCCCGCTCCGCTGCCCAGGGGCCACCATGAAGACGGTCGCCAGCTTTGGATCCACCCGGCAGCCCGGGCGGATCAGGACCACCGAGCAGGGCGCCTGGCAAGCGAAACGCCTTCGGCTTCGCTTCCCTTTTTGGGGATCCTGGACGCTCGGATTTTTTCTGGACGGCCAGAATTTGGATCCTGGCCAGAATTGTCGGTCAGAATCTCTAGGTCCTCCAGATTTGAGAGCTTAGAAGAAGGGTACCAACTTCTTTTGTTTTGTCTTTTTTAGTGGGGGGGAAGTTCCCCCCCCCCCCCGCAAAAAGGGGAGAGAAGGGCACTACTGAGAAACTTAGTCCAGCGCCCCCCCCCTCTAAAAACACAAGCAACCACCAATAGTGGAAGCGGTGCGCTTGGGGGGTAGCTGGACAAGAGCGCCTGGCCTCATCCTCCCAGTACACCTTTTCCAACATGCACCTGAACAAGAGGGTCTTTTCATGTGAAGAATCGGATTCATAACCAATCTACTTACATGAGTAGATTGGAAGATAACCCAAGCTGATGCTCAAGATACGATACCATCCATCCGCTCAAAACAGTCCATGCCGTGAGGCTGGAAACGTCTGGGGGTTCAGCTAGAAGCAAATTCTCCCAACAAATATGCATGTGTATACTGAACATGCAAATACATATGTGGCATATGTGACACATGATTTCTGATATGTGATATCGTGATATATGACACAAACACACACATCTATATACATAAAAACAAAAATAAACAAATGCGTATGCCTAAGATGGCCAAGCCCGCGCAAAGCGTCTTTTGCGACGTCCCGCGCGTTGCGCGGTCGCGCGCTTGGCCCGCCTCAAGGGCCGCCAGGTGGGCGGAAGAGCCGAGGGTCGTGCGCTGGAAGCACTCTGAGTTGGTCTCCTCAGGCGGGGGAAGGCGTGCGATGCGATAGGCCAAGGAGACATGGAATGAACCCAGTTGCTTGGCCCCCGAAAGGAAACCAGTGGGATGGACTGGGCTGCCCGTTCTCTGATCCCCCGCTAAAAGCTTAACAATTGGTGGGTTGAATGGAAACTACGTACCACTAAACACTAAACGGCTAAAAAGCGAAGGGGATGGCTGGGAGCCACCAAGCGGAATGAACCCAGTTGCGTTGGTCCCCGAGTAAAGGAAACGAGTGAGATGGAACTAGTAGGGGGTCATTCCACGTGAGCACCAGAAAGGCGCTTCCTTTTTGGCTGCGTTCCAAGAGAACCAACAAAACAGGAACCCAAAGCAAGGATCTCTGCCTTTGGCTTCCGGTTTTGCCGTTGCTGCTTGCTTTGTCGTTGGTTCACCCAAAACAAGGTCTCCTCTAGTTTCCGAGACTTGGTTGCTGTTGACCCCTCTGCAAAAGTTATTCACTTCTTTGGGGTCCAGTGGAAAATCTGCAGTCTTTCAAAAAGTTGAAGTCCAAAGATAGCAATAAAGAGGAGAGAATACCTTTTATCGTTTAGCACACAACAAGGAACCCTAAACTAAAATTTTTCTGGTCGATAGGTTGATAGGACCTACTTGCCCAAACTGGGACCCGGAAGTTCAAGGTCAGTCAGCCTTTCCGGGCCTTGACTTCGACTGGCGAGCGGATCCTAGTCGCTGCTCGCGGAACAGCTCCGTTCCGGAAACTGCCCCACACACCCCACGTTGGGGGAAGCAGGTTCACCCCAAACCTGCAACAGAAAAGGACCAATCCTGGTCCGCAATGAATTCACACTCCCGGAGGCTCAAGACGAGCGAGGCCCCCCGCAAGGTTCCCTTAGACAAAGAGACCCCCCGCCTCTTCCGAAATTGCGGGTCCCATCTGGCAGGCGCCGGGACTGGGCCATGCTTAAGCACAATGCGGAAAGTGGCCTTAAACCACCGAAGCAAGCTGCAAGCCGTGCAGCCTCATCCGCAATGCTTGGCAACCATCGCTCACGGAGATAAAAGACCAAGGCAACTTCAAGTAAAGAGGTGAGAGCCTCTGGATGTGGCTCCCACATTGCACCATTGAAGAAGTGTTGGACTCTTCCCCACACATGCGAAGGGTTTGCCCACTTGCGCGGGTGCACATCTGGCAAGGGGGCAGGATTAGGGACCGCAAGGATGTGGGGGAAGGGAGGGGGTGGCACTGATTCAGGCTCACTTTCGATATCACGGTGCTCAACCAGGCAATCTTTGGTAGGACACATTTTGTACAAGCGCTGGAGCCACACTGACTGCCGCATGGTGGCAAACGCCAAAATGTCCAGTCGCCGGTGGTAAGGACCTGACCCTCCTGAGCCGTAAGGCCCGCAATTTTATCGGCCTGGGCGTTCAGCCAGACATGATCACTGTTGAGGCCCTGGTGCTGGTCAAGAGGCCAGGACAGCACATGCGGGTCAGTGTGCGCTGGAATCCACGGTGTGCCCCAAACCTCCCTCCTCTGCAGGTATGCATCCCAGATTTGGGTCCACAAATGCGAGGCAGGGACACCGGCAACACGGCCTTTGGCAAGGATCGCATCCCACGCTTTACATGCCGACTGCGAGTCTGTGTGCGCACAAACCGGAGAGGAGGAGATAGCACATGACCACACAATGGCGGTGACTTCTGCGAGGTAATTGTCGACGAATATGCCAGGGACCCTGCCTGAGGCAAGTGTGGTGCCATCCTGGGCAATGACAGCAAAAGCGGCATTAGCATACAAGAAATAATAGGGGATGGTAGGGGTGAACGACGCTTCCATCAGTCCAGGCCCTCACCAACTCGGTAGAGGCAGGAGGCCGAAAGAGTGGCGACCCAGGGACAGCCTTCCTCTGGAGGGCTACCAAGATGTCAGGCTCAACTTCAAGCAAACCATGAGTGGCGAAGGCCGGACCCTGCTCCGGACGTGGCCTTGGTCTGGTCTCAGACATGGCTGGGGTCAAAGGGCAAGAGAGTGCCAGATGTGCAAGGTCCTCACAAACGTGGCCGCACCATCGGCATTCAGGGGACGACACAATCTTAGCCGCGTATAAACGTTGGGCAGTGAGTGCGGACCCAGTAATCACCGTCTGTGCACTAGATACCACAGAAAGCTGGCGCAGGTAGCTCCGCCACTGTGCCCGGGGCGGGGGATGTATGGCGGCCTGACTTAATGGTACGTCAACGGGAAGGTCCAAAACTGAGGTCCTCTCTCCCGCTCGTGCAGGCAGCACGATACGCCCCTTGGGCTGCGGAGAACTGGAGAAGCTTGGAAAACAGACATGTCTGGGATCTGGACGACCGGGAACGGGGGAAGGGCAACACCGAAGGGGGGGTGGAACTCCAAACCACAAGTGTGCACAGCCTTAATGAAGTTGTCAACTATCGTGCGCTGCAGGACACGTTGCTCAACCAGGGCAATACGCCATTTCCGGGTCTTGACTAAAACTGAAGCTGGAAAACCACTGCAGGATAATCAAACACAAAAAACCCTAGCTAAATCAACGAACAGCATTCAATTTCGCTCCCACATAAAACACAACAAACAAAAAGTCGTTTGTACAGAAATCTCTTTTTGGGCAGATCCCTGTTCAGGGTTCCGTGGTCCTGTTGGTAGTCGTAAACATCACCTTTTCAACCTGCTTTAAATCGAATTTCTTCAGGTCGAGTTGTGCTTACGGGGGGATGCCATTATAGAGCACCCTGCCAAACCCAGTTTGAACATGGGAGTTTCACATCTTGGGTGTTGAATCGTGTGGAAACGAGAACGTGTTCGTTGCAAATGGGGACCCTTTGGTGGACATCATTTAGGGGATTACGTCCACCGAACATTTGCGCGGATATTCCCATTGAAACTCATAGCCATCTGTGCCAAAATCAGGGATCCACCCCTTGTCATGATGGCTTGACGCGGGCTTCATGTTCACAGCATCCACAAAATGGTCAGCCTCAATGATTGACAATGATCCGGCAAAATCTTCCCATGGCTCGCTGATTGAAATATGCATTATGTGGCTCGCATTTTGTTTTACCTGAAATGGTGCATAACCCCTTGTGATTTCCATGGGAAATGGTGTCCTTCTTCCCCTAATACAAGTTTTGTGGCTAGCGCCCAAGCGGGAAAGTTGAAGGATCAAGGGTACGGGGCTTGCCCCAACTGAGGCAGGGGCTGCTGGGCAAAGGGATGGGGGACAGGGTGTGGGTGGGCAATCCTGTGGACCAAATCCTGCACCTAGGAAACCCTTTCGGAGGATTCCCCTGTTGCCAACCAACGTTATGGAAACCCATGGTTTCAGAGTGCGACATGGATTTCGCAACCATCTGTCTGAATCTCTGTGTCCTCACAGAACTGGAAGCTCCCAGGGCGACCGAATCTGATCAGACGGGGACCAATCAGAATTGGAACGGGACGGTCTTTTTTTGAGGGTACCCCTTTCCTGGTCCGTTTTAAAGGGAAACCAAAGGAAAACCACAATTTCGGTGTTGTTTTTGTTTGCGTTTCGTTTGGGTAGGGCGGGGTGCGTACAGGGGGTCCCCCCAAAAAAAGACGGACACAATGAAAGCAGTTTCTACTTGTAGAACTTGGGGATATCCTTGCTTTGAGTTCCGTGCGATGTTACCAGAGTGCACAACATCCATGAAGGCCGCCTCTCACAACCAAGCAGTGTGAGGTATTCTTAAAAAACGTCTCGGGCCATCTGGGCGAAAATTCCGGTATTTCAACAAACCGGACACTCTTTTTGTTTAAACACACACGGTCCTGGAGCTTCACCACATCGTTGTGGTTTGCTCGTTTCGCCACACGGCGAGATTTCAAAGATTTGTCCCCATCGACTCGCCGCCGGGTCCTTGCGGCCAGTGCTGCCCATGACCTGAGGGTTGAGATGGCGGTCCAAATGCCAAATCTGCAACCAGCGACCCCAAGCTCAGTTGCCCAAAGGACCTGTTTACAAAAAGGTGATCACCTTTTGGGACCTCCACTAAAAATAGACCAAGGGAAAACCCAAAGGTCAGATCCGGTCGATTCGCTTTGAACGGAGCAAATGTAGCAGGAACCACGGGTACAGCTGGAAGTCCGCAAATCTAGCTTCCCGATCGCATTCCCAAGCCGGCACCTCAACAGGACAAAATGTGTGGGGCGCGGAGGGGAAGAAGGAGCCCCGTTTGCAAAATGATCAATATAGCTCAGGATGGAGTACATTGCCTCCTATATGTATAGGTGCATCTGGTCACATGGGGTGGACAGGCACAGGAGTTATGAACCAACGGATCGGCCTCCAGCATATCTGTCTCGATATCAAACGTGCCTCACGTCGAGCAACCCATAGGTAACATCGGGGTAGTCACGAATAATTAGACATTATATATTTCCCAACCCCCAATCCTAATGCCATGTTTTCGCCTCTACAATCAACATGTCTGCAGCTTGTTTCCGGTGCGCACGCTTAAAGGGCAACATGCCTGTGTACAAAGCTTCTACACTTGCAGGGTAAACACGAAGGCGCAAGCCTGCCCAAATCTTGCCGCGACCATGGAATACTTCAGCCACCAGTGAATGCGCCCCGAACCACAATTTCGGGCGGGTGCCCAAGATGGAAACGCCTTTGGGTGAGCCCTGGTTGCAAACAAGCTGCTAACACGTCAGCGTTCGTGCAGGCGGCAAAGTTCACGATCATGCCTGAGTAAAACCAACATGGACGCAGTGTTCATAAACATGGCTGTCAAATCTTGAAAGCGCAAAAACCAACCTAAAAGAAAAACCAACCGAAAAGGGTGCCCTGAAACAAACTCACACCCGCGCAAAAAATGGAATGGCTGGCCAGAAAAGAGCAACATGTACCCGTTCAACATGTCCTGCCAAACAAAGCAGCTCTAGATTTGAAACGTGGTCAAAAGGGTCTATAGATGTAAGGTGTCTAGATTCATTTCCTTAATGCTGGAACCCGTTATGGAAAGTTGTTTGTCAGAATCCTGCGACTGGTTTGGGGCTCGCCATTGTAGGAAGTGTCCCCCCCTTTCTTTTGGGAATTCTGTGCCATACAAAATTGGGATTGGCAATGCTGACACAACCCAGGCCGCAGCCGAACCTCCCCTGAACCCAACCAGACCCCACCTTTTCCACTAAAGAGGCTCCAAATCACTGGTGGCAATGTTGAGGGGCGGGGGGCACATTAAAAGGATCCAACATTACCAAGCAAGATTAAATGAATCTGGTCTTGTTGTCCTGGCGATTTGATGGAAAGCTGCACAAGCAAACAGAACCGCCGCGTCTGGCAAAGAAGGGAGACTGGTTTCCAACAGCGGTTCCAAAATCCACGGCTCGCTATGGTGAGCATGTTCCATGTGTTTTACATACCACTTACAAAAAGCAAATGCCAACTTGTCCCAAGGAACACCCCTGCTTCGAGAGAAAAACAACATGCCGAAGCTTGAAGCGAATGCAAAGCAAACGCTTTCACTGACAAATCCTTTTCAAACGGCCAAAATATGTTTGCGATAGTCCCAGGGGTTCTCGTAGGGCAGGGGTCACCGGCCTCCAGAGTTACATTCCAATAGTGTCTGGAACAAGCACGTTGAGTGGCAAGTACGCTACTGGCGATGCCCTCAATTAGGGACATTTCTGGAAGTATATACATTCGCCTCGCTGTCTGCGTTATAGCGTAGGTCCCTAAGAAACTGCATGTTCGTTAGATGCATTTGGAGGATGGGGAAAAACTAGGCTGCCCTCAGATCCCTTGCTAAAAGTGACTAACTTTAATCAAAAGAGCAAGAAACCCCACCCAAACGCGCGCCGAAGGCTGCGCCCTGAACAAAAAGAGGTGGATTGACCGTGGTTAATCCCTCAGCGGTTCAGGGGGTTGTCTCTACACTCTAGTTCCGCACTCAGCGCCCTTTTTCAGTGAGCGCTTGAGCCAAACGGCGTTTGCCGTTTGACAAGTCTGTCATGTCATGCAACCCTCAACCTAAACCAAAGTGGCCTCATGCAAACCTCACGCCAGTGAACACACAACTAGGCAAGTTACCATGCCTTTGGGGGCAAAGGGGTCGTTATTTCTTGACTCCCCCCTCGCCGTGTGCACTAAGGCAGGGTAAGCTTTTGCTTTGGAGCGCGATACGCTGCTCCCTGGTCATCAAGGCTTTAAAAGGATGAAGGATATTTTGGCACTTTTAGTACTCATAGCACTGCTTTCGGAATGACTTTCTACTTTTTGATGTTGAATCGAGTATCTTCTAGCTCTTCTGGGAGGTCTGTGCGCATTCCCAGGAGCCTCAAGGCGTGATCCCACTTATGTGGAGGCAAAGCCTTGGTAAAGATATCGGCAGCTTGGAAATCGGTCTTCACATATTCAAGCTCTACTCCAGTGCCTTCCTGTAACTGTTCTGCAAGGGATGCTAGGTTAACCCTATGTGTCCTAGAAATTGATCGCAACTTCGAAGAGTGCCCTTTCCTTGCAACCAGAATAGTAGCTTGATTGTCTTCATGGATCCTGAGGGTCATTGGGCGACCCAATAGTCGATCCCACAGACTAAGTCGGGAGTCCCTCCTGATACAAAGAAAATGCTAACGACACAATCTCTGCTTCTGTAGTGGAACGCGACACAGAAGTCTGGCGCTTGCTAATCCATGCTAAGGGGAAGTGGGAATTCGGACCTTTCAGGGCGAGAAACCCCCCTGACGTGGACTTGGCCCCCTCCTCTCCTGCAAAGTCAGCGTCGACGTAGAGCGCAAGATGCAGCTCTCTGGGATCGTCTTGAACTGTGCCAACCAACCTGTGCGTTGTGGTCGTGTTAATGTAAGCTATTAGCCTAGCCAACTGCCTATCATTATTACGCGACCATTTTTGAACGCACGTTGCAAGATCCCCGATGGGCTTGATTATGTCTGGACGTGCAAGACGTCCCAACCACAAGGCCTTCATCAAGATTTTACAAGCGGCTGAGCTCAGTTCACCTGCTTCGGCATCATCTTGTGTTGGCAATGACCCTTCTGGACAGAATGGGGTCAATGCCTTGCGGAGCTTACTAATCGGCTGACCTGAAATGGAGACATATAGATCAACAGTTTGCTTGGCGTAGTCAACCATATCAAAAGCCATTGCGTTGGACAGCGCGCCAAAGGCTGCGCTCTCGGCTGGATTAGGCTCGCACTTCGGGGCGTTAATGATGACATGATTCCTTCCCAAAACACGATATATCGGTTCTGGGGGTTCAATATCAACACATGACATCAGCTTTTCCCAAAAGGGATCATGCTGCTCTGCCGGCCCTGAAAGTGTTAGATCATCCACATAAGTGGATAGCATTAAGCCGGTTGAGGGGAAGTAAAAGTTTCCTGGAAATTCTTGGATCTCCTCTCCGGTCTGCTCCTTCAAGATCTTCTTGAAGTGCTGCTCCCATAGCCCCCCCGCGTCGGGGTGACCGTAGAGTGCTTTTACTAGAAGGACTACCGGTTTTATAAACTTTTCTTTCCACCACTTCGGACGAAGTTCCGGCGGCAATGATATCCACGTCTGATGTTGAGATCGAAGTAGGGCCTGGATATATGCCTTTACGGCGTCTGCCGCCGTGGTTTTGTGACCTGGCAGTGAGCCGTAGGCAAGGCAGTTGTTCAAACCCTGAACGGACGTAGGGTTGGCGCCGAGTTCTTGATAAACGGCCGCCGCCCCATATTCGTCCCGCGCACAGTCCCCTCGGTATACTATACGCCCCTTCACTTTCTGTAGATGCTTTGCTAGCTCAAAGAATTTGATGGAGGCGATAGTCATTAGTTGCCCGAAGTGGACTTTAGTGTGCGTCCGTCGCGCTTCAGCAGCGACCTCTCCTTGCTCTCTCACGGTGCTGAGATCCCAGACTCCCGCATTACCTAAGCCGTCTGCTTCTTCCTTTATGGCCTGTAATGCCTCGGACGAGGCAAGCATTTCTGAACGTGAAAGAAGCTTTGTGACCATGGCGGCTATGTCGGGAGAAGTCTCCTGCTTTGGAATTCCCTGAATTTCCCTAACGAGATTATCCAAGTCAAAGAGTTCTTCAAAGAATCTGCGGGATGTTGGATCTGATTCAACCACTGACGCGAGAGCCCCAACACCCGAAAGTGCGGAGGTATGCTTCAAGGACTGCTCCTTTTCCCGATGCTCCTCTTGCACGATGACAGCCTGGACTGGCATTGCAGGCGCGCATGGTGTTGCGACATGCGGATATAACGCACTAGCGATTATCTTACACATTTCTTGTGGATAAAAGGCGGTGCGTGCAGTGTTGCTACCTGCGGCCTGTGCATGCTTGAAGGAGTGTTGGTGGGGGCATGTCCTATTCTGGAACCCATCATGAAGTTCCTTGGATGTGGTCATGAGACGCCACGGCTTCTTGATGGGAGTCCCTTCCTTGTCAGTTAGACCTACTGCACACCCGTGGAAAGTCACTGAGTGGAAGCGAGACGCATGCTTCTCGAAGAATGCCTTTACGTCGGGGCGCTCCCATCCCTCGCAGTCGCGAGGCCACTCGAAAGTGACGTGACCCTCTTGTTCTATCACTACTTCGGCGTGCTTTGTGAACCTTGCGAACAATGCCTCCGATCTTTTAACCTGTGCACGGAGATACTGCTTGTATTTATTGCCATATTTATGGACATTTAGCCTTTGCCATGGCGACCCGGAGGTGCACGGAATGGCTGCCCACATGTTAGGCTTGCTACAAGACTGCAACTGAGCGGTCAGTTGCTCATCCCCTTCATTGGTTTCAAGATCGATGTGTTCTTTAGCCAGTCTCACGTGGGGAATGCCTAATGCTTGATGCACTGCTCCCATGGTGGAGTCACTTGAACATGCATACTCGAACATTACAGGCATAGAATTTCCCCGCGCGATACGCTTGCGGGCCCTCTTATTCCCTACGGAAAACTTTTTGCATGGCTCCCTTTTGGAACATGGCATGCCGAACACAGGCAGAGTCCGAGCCTCCCTCTTGGTGAAGGAGTCGGCTACGTGGCACGTGAGTGACGTGGAGGTTGCAGTGGTTGTTGTCACCGCCGCGCCAGTTGTGGCTGCAGGCGGCGCGGTTGGAGGAATCCCCCCTGGCCGAGACGGAGCTGGCTTGCCGCGAAGAGCATCATCATGCTCTTCGGATGCCCTCAGTGCTTTCTCGAGCTCATCGGGATCAGATAGATCTGCCTTTTCAAGGCGGGAAAGCTCAAGTGCCTTTTTAAGGTCGGCATCGTCTTCTTCGAGACGTGCCTCCTTGGCTGCATGAACTGGGTCAATCGCTTCGGAGGGGCGAAGTGACCGCTCTACCTCGACGGCAGCCGAGCGCTTGGAGCGCTCCTCGGCTTTCTCTGTATCGACAAGCCTTGCGAAGCGGCGTCGACATTCGGGGGTATGGTACCGGGTGCGCCCGGCGCCCGGTACAACCTCGACAACCTGGTGTTTCACGGAACCGAATTATCCGATCCACAGTGATGTACACGCCTCGTGGCGTGCCTGGAGCGGGAGTCGGCGGTGCAGCTACTTCGCTAAACGGAACCTCCTTAAGAGCGACTTCTGGGAGCTCACCCTCGGCTTCCCCCGTCCGCAGCGCCTTGTGGGCTGCTGCCGCAACGGGGAAGCAAGGCTCACCTTCTTCAACGAAGAGTTCTGCTTCCGGGACATCATGCACTACAATCGCTCGACGAGTCCTAAATTCTTG